CGTCTACTCTGTCCACTGTTCTTCTTCGATTGAGGTGTTTATTTCTTAATTTGTACATGTTTTTATGTTTGGTTGTTTTTCGTTTTGTATCGTTATGATCAGTTTCAAATTGTTTATCGTTATTTATATGATATTTTTTCTTATATGAAAACCATACTTCGTTTCATTAATAGAAGCCTTTATTGTAATTTGATTTTAAGTTTCTGAATATAATAACATACTAATCTTTATAATATTTGTTCTCTAGTTCAGTGACCTATTTGTTTTTTCTCAGAGTTTTGTAGTTTCTTGATGGTGATAATGTGTTTTTCTTTTATTGTTACCGTGTATCAGGCAACTCTTAATAATGATTTAGTTGTTTTTGTTGTTGTTCATTTATGCTACTGTCTTTTTCTTCTCCAACATTTTCTTGATTTTGTTTTTTTTTTTTCCTTCTAGCCCCTGATGATTTTTCTTTTTGTTTTTTCCTCCTCTTCTACCCGTGTGTTGTGGACTCCACCTGGCCATTTTGTTTTTTTCCTTCTCTCTTCTCCGAGATATCTGTTGCTTTGGCTTCTGGTTTTTACTTTTTCTCTTTCGGTGTTTTGTTTCCTTTGTCGATGTTGTTTTTCTCCATTTTTTCTTCCCCCTTCTCCGAGACATTTGTTGCTTCAGCATTTTCTTTATTTGACTAATGTTTCTGTTTTTTGGTACTTTGCATAAATCCTTCAATAATTTAGTTGGCAACCAAGGACATTGCTGAGTTATTTTTTAGTTACTTATGATATATTTTGTTAGCGATGGAAGAAAAATACCTGAACCTTATTTTTTATGTATATTTACTGCTCTAATGAACAATTGTTTTTTCGTAGGCTTTTATTGTTTTCTGATGATGATGATGATGATGTATTTTTCTTTAGTTCTTGTCATGTATCGGATAACTGTTAGTCATGAACAATTGTTATTTGTGTTCTTTTTATGGTGATCTATGTTTTTGTTTTTCAATCTCTCACAGTGATATTCAGGGGCTTAACATATCAAAGTTTTCTTCCTCTCTCATTTTCTCTTCCTTCTGCTCTTCTTTTCCTCTCTAATTTCTTATTCTTTCTAAATTCAGAACTGATCCAGTTTTCCTGTTTTATTCCTTAGCTAATTTCTTTGCATGTGCCTCACTTTACTTATCTGGTTTCTTTTTTGACTTTTATCTGTTTTCGCCATTTCATTACAGTCTTTGCTCTCTGGTATTTTGTATAAATCGTTCGATAGTTTACTTGGCAGCCAATGACATTGTTGGGTCATGTTAAACCTCATTTTCTATACATATCTCCTATTCTGTGAACAGTTTATTTTTTTCTTAGGATTTTATTGCTCTTGGTCGTGATGATATGTTTTTCTTTAACTAATGTCATGTATTGGCCATTGGGCAACTTTTACTACTGATTTGGCGGTTTTTGATGTTGTCTGGATTATCTGAGATTTATGTTATTATGTCTTATCTAAGTTTTTTTCACGTTTTTCCTATGGGGGCCTAGCCTTTTCCAAGCTTTCTTCTTCTCTCATATTGTCTTCCTTCTATTCTTCGTTTTCCTCTCATATTTCCTCTCTGATTTCTTACTCTTTCTAGATCTAAAAATTGATCTAATGTTCCTGTTCTATTCTTTAGTTTTTTTTTTTTTTTTTACCTATATCTCACTTTATCTATCTATTTCCTTTTCTCTCCTTTTTTTTGTTTTTGCCATTTCATCACGATTTTCGTTCTTTCATATTTTGTATAAATCCTTTAATAATTTAGTTGACAGCCAAAAACATTATTCAGTCATATTTCAGTTATCTACGATATATGTTGTTAACAATAAAAGAAAAATACCTAAACTTGTTTTTTTATGTTTGATTATTTTATCTACATATCTAATAATATTATTCAGCATTATCATCATCATGTAACTACTTATTACATTATTTACTCTAAATTATTACTATATACTAAAGGAGATGCCGAGGTTTACTGTTCATTGTATAACATTATCTACATATTTAATAATATTATTTAATATTATCTCTTTTTTGCTTTTTGTGTATTTTGATCCTTTTGATTTGTTTCAATTATACTTTCATTGAAAGTTTATTTATTACACCTATATTAGTCTTCTTTTTCTCTTACTTGCTGTATGTTGCCTGCAGTTACTACAGTGTTTTACTGGATTTGCTCTTCCTCATTTCTTTTTTTGTTCGATCTTCCTGATTTTTTGTGTTTTATATGCTGCTTTGACAGTTTTAGCAGTTATGGTCCTTACAGTTTATCCAATTGCTTTATTTTCTACTTTCTCCAGTTCTTTTCTCCATTTGTTCTCTCTCTTGCTTTTATTGTTTTTTCTCCAATTTCTATTCTTTCATCTAAAACGAATTGACTATTATTACAAGATTATTGATTTTACTAATTGTTACTAATTTTGATATACTGTTATTTAGTGCATATAGATTACTTGTGTGGGTATTTTTAGTCCCTGCTGACGTTTGAGTGCATGCTGTTTCATTTTTAAAACAAGGTTTATTGTGTTCCAGGTATTAAAGATAGCCTTTGCCTGTAACAGTTTTAATATCCATTGTTGATTCTTAATGTAATGATTTTTTCTCATGATATTAATGTGTCTATTTTATCCTTTATTATTCTTCTTGATAAAAACCATTAATTTGTGTCTGTTTATTTTTTATTTTTTTTCTTTTAACTCATGTTATTCTATAAGCATATAGTGCTAAAGTTTTTGACCTTTGGCTCATTCACTTATTAGTCATGTATAAACTTTTTGTGGCAATGATGATTAACAAGAAACTTGATATATTAAGTTTTATATAAACTGTCCTAAAATTGTCGTAAATAAACTTATCCTATTTAGATTTTGATCTAGCCTACTGTTTTCCACAAAAATTTTATGCTATCCCTTCTTCCTTTTCCCCGCATATTCTGATCCTTTTCATTTTTATTTGGATAAAAATATGTGTTTGGTTATTATAGTTAGTACGATGTTTTACTGGATTTGCTCTTTGCTCCTTTTGTTATTTCTTTTTCTGTGAACAACCCGTTGCAGCTCAGTTGACTTTTTTTTTTATCATTTTTTGTGCTATTGTGTTGTTACCATTGTTGTTTTTCATTTTATGAAAAACTAATAGGCAACCACAATAGTGACAATTAAAAAACTAATAGGCAACCACAATAGTGACAGTTATAAATCAGCTAATAAAACATATTAGCTGTGTATGTATATACAACAATCTTTTTCACAGCAACGCCCGGGCAAAAAAATTAGTTATAAATATACTAAAGGAGAGCTCAGGGGTACTGTTTATGCAGACTCAATTTACTGTTCCTTCTACAGTGAAATGACACTTATGCCCTCCATTTACTGCTCTTTTCTTCTTCTGGTGCAAGGGCATTTTGGTCTTTCGGTGGCTTCTTTGGTTTTGTTATTTGATAATTTCACAGCCCCTGCAACTCTTATTTTCCTTTCCCCCTCAATTCTCTCATCTTCTCCGCCCCCTTCATTCGGTATTCTTTGCTTTCCCCCGTTTATGGTGATGGGCTTTTAGGTCCTTTTATTGTTTGGTCTACCTCGGTGCCCTTTTACCATTGGATTTCTCTCCATTATGCCGCTTCTTCTCTACTGTTTCCTTCATTTTGTTCTTG